AGGACCAAAACAAAGTAAAAATTTCATGAATAATTTAAACATATTGTTTACATGTTCAAATGATAGTATTTTGGACCTATCAGGTTAAAGTATATTATTTTTTTAAGATTTATTTATTTTTATACAAAAACCGGGGTACAGGCCAGATATGCAGGAGGGTGAGAGGATTCACCCGAGGCAGAGCAGGGAACAGAACAGGCAGACTGATGAAGTACATTGCTGAGGGGAGCAGCGGGCGAGTCAGGAGAGGTCTGCTGTGCCATGTGGGATTCTCGCCGGCCGGCCAGGATCGAACCCGCGCTGCAGAGGCTGCGGACGGCTTCATAGTGCAGCGCTCAATCGCTTGTGCCACCAGGGAGGCCCTAAAGTATATTATTAATGTTAACAGCATCTGTTTCCCTTTCAGTTTTTTTTTCTGTTACACACGTAGCCCACACCATATTTCTACCGGTCTGTGTTGGTTTACGTTATTACCATGGGGACGGTGGTTGAAGTGGAACAAACACTCCGGAGGAGAAGTTCAAGAAACAGAGAGGCAATGGGGATGAAGGACCATCTCTGTGGTATTGAAATCACCAAGAATTAATCGCAAATTCATTTTGAAGAGAGTCCCAGGAGCGAGGCATAGCCACATTGGAGGGAGGGGCGAAGAGTGGAGGGTTGTAGGAGGATGGGGCAGAGGTGCTGTAGGAAGTTCCAATCTGGAGGATTTAGGGTGGACGGGCAGTGAGGATTAAAGGGTCACCTATCTCTTCCACCTCCGCGCTAGAGGTAAACAGGCCGTAAGAGAAGCTGACTGCCGCTGCAGAGGGCTCATCCAGCAGGTGCTTCCATGGCCAGGGTCATCGCATCTCTGGGTGGCAAAGTAAATAACAATAAGGCAGTGCAGGAAGCTCTGCGGGTTTGCTCAGGGGTGCCCACTTCCTGTGACAGATTACCTCGGGGTTTCTTCATCTGAGGCCATTTTATTAAAGGGGGTGGAGATGGTTGAAGAATGTGGAGAAACCCAGAACCTCTCTTCTCAGGCTAGCTAGTTATCTACGTGTAACCCCCACTCCCTGAAGGCTCGACTCCCCTAAGTGGCTCAGGGGCTAACACTCCAGGGCCCAGGCCAGGCTCTCTTGGATTTGGGTGTCTTCTGCATTCAGAGAGAATGCAGGCAGCAGATGCCCCATTTAGAGGTGCCCTGGTGCCAGGATCCTGCCTGTGCTGCTGGGGGTGCCCCGGTCTCCTTTCCTGTCTGCCCTTCCCAGCTCCCTGGGCTGCTGACTCGGTGCCATCTGCCCATCTGCTGGCTCTGCACTTTTCCATTTCTGGACCTCAGTGCTACCAATATCTACCAAATAATGTTTATATTCTAAGCACTCTGGGTGTAAACATAAATAAAGTGTGTTCTTACCCTCAAAGAACTCCCCATCTAGAGGAAAAAGCACAAGGCACATTTCTGCCTGCTGACGCTGGCAGTGCCTTCGGTGACCATGTGACCTTGGCATGGATGCCACCCCTAACCCCTCTCCACCCCCCATCTCCTGCTGCTCCTCTGACCCCAGTGCAGGCTCCACTCCCTGCTCCCGGCTCCTTACTGCTGCTGCCCGCCTGCTGGGATGATGGCAATGAGGTTTCAGGGCGACAGGCCACTATTGTCCTTAGTGGAGCCACACCAAATGGGTGGGTGAAACTCTTTTTCCCTAATCTTAACACCGACCTTACTATACTAAGAGTAGTGACTTAGGTGCTTTTCCCTCTAGATGGAGAGTTCTTTGAGGGCAGAACTGAATTTATCTTGATATCCAGAGTGCTGAGACGCAGGAGTTATTTGGCAAATATTGGTAGCACTGAGACTGGAGAATGGAAAACCGTCCAGAAGATGAGGTTCTGGTGTTAGCTGACTGTGGAAGAGAAGGGGGCGCTGCTGCTTGTCTGTCTACCCCTCCATGTTTGTGTGTGTGTGTGTGTGTGTTGGGGGATGAGTGGGCAGAGCAGAAAGTTGTTCTTCTTTGGCCTGAGGTGCAAAGAACCCTGGGTCTTGCTGGGTGCTTCACCCCCCATCACCCCAACTCCCACTCCCACCCTCCCCCTCTTTTGTGTCTACCCCAACCCTGCTGGCTGATGGAAGCTTCTGTGGGGAGTTTGGGAAGAATTGGGAAAGTGACCATGTGCAGGGAAGACCCTCTGTGGAAGGACAAAGAGGTGCCAGTTCTGTCATTTATAACTACATTTTAAATGTTCCTAGAGAAAAAGGTAACAGTATAAAAGCCTTCTGCTTTCCCTTAATTCTCCACCCTAGTACCAATCACTTCTAACCTTCTCGGGGAAGGCCTCTGAAAATGTTCAGTTTCACAAAAACATACATATACACACACGCACACACACACACAACATGGATGTGTTTAGACACACAAATGGACAGACAGACAGACAGACAGGCAGAACTTGCTGGTGCTATGGGATGGAAAGCAAAAGCGGAGGCTGAAGGAGTAGGAGGCGCACCTGAGGAGGCTATGGCTGGGCCAGGCTGGGGCTCCTGAGGAATAAGTGATGACTCCAGGGTGCAAGTGGGGGGCAGAGGTGTCTTCAAATAACATACGCGTTGCCAAGGCGTTCATGCCTCTGTCAACATCATTTCCTCTACAGACAGATGTCGATTTAGAATGACGCACACCCAGAACCAGTATCATGTTGCAATCCAGTGTTACCGCAATGTCAAGTTTTCTTAAATAAAAATTCTGTTTTCTTATCTTCCCCTTTTTTTTTGCATCCAGGTGGCCTCAGTTTCCTTAACTGAAAAGTGGGAGAATGACGTCTGTTTCTCACAGGGCGACTGTGACGTTGCAGGTACTGAGGTGACGCCTTGCGCTAAGCTCCCTCTAGGCAAGTACTCTTGTGGCTGTCATGGGGCGGATGCTCTTGCTAGGGAGCCTAGCACAGCGCCTGGCACTTGATGGGCTCCTGTCTCTGGACAGCCGGCTTACAGAAAGGACCTCGTGACAGCACCCCTCGTCTTGGAACTCATTTTTCCACGATCTCATTCCTTTTCTTTCCCCTTGACTGCACTCTTTATGTTGTGTGCCCTGGAGGGACACCTCCTGGTACCTGGAGGCTGTAAGTCTTGGCAGCATGGAGAGCTGTTTTAGTAGCAAAGCTCCCCGCCCATTTTCTTACTTCCTCTCCCTCGGCTGGCCCCCAGCTATTGGAAAGGATTAGGGGGGGCATCGACTTGCTTGTTACACTTTCACAGGCTACCTGAGAGACGAGTTAGAACTGATTTCTTAAAAATACCTAAGAATCATGAGGGTCGCTCCTGTTTATTGTATTGTATTGACACTGGCCCTGTAGTGCCACTCGGGACATCCTGGCCTGGCGACTCTGCCCTTTTTGGACGCTCTGTGTGTTCCTACGTGTGTCGGGAATGGCTGGCTTGAAACGCTCAGCTGTAATATTCCGCATCCCGAATGCATTCAGTTGTCAGTAAAACTAGCCTGCCTACGCACTCTTCTATTCTAGATTTATAAATAGGTTCAGCTGCCTAACAATTAAACATACTATATTTTGCACATGCACATTCCTTAAGGAGATCGTATAGGGCAGATGGTTGTTCCTCTCATGGTGCTCTCTGGAAACCATCTTTCTTGCTCTTTCCCCCAAGGGGCGCGATTTTGAAGGATTGGCAGTGATTCTTTTGGTCTGTAAAGCCCAAAATACAATCTCTAACATGCACAGGAAATTCAGTATCAAATTTCTCGAAGCTCTTCACAGGGACAGGCCCAGGACCAGCTTCTACGTGTCAGAGAAGGTTTGCACTGCACTATTTAATACACACATGGCCACACATGTTTGTGGCTATGAGAAATTCGGGTGACAAAGACAATAAGTCGCTAGAGAAAAGCAAGATCTGTGGAGCCTGCGAAGGAGAGGTAGAAGTAGACTTAGGTCTAATTAAGTCTTTGATAAGTTGAAGGGAGGAGAGTGAGAGGCTAACGCCTCTACCAAAGTCCAGAGACGTCTGCCCGCAACCCAGAGGGAATGTAGCGGGAAACTTGTTAACTGGCTTGAATCTCCATTCTGGACAGAAGTGGGACTCGAGTAATGACATCGAGTATTCACTCACGCCATAGCACTTTCAGAACCGTGGTTCCACTGATTTCCCCATATACTGCAATAAGGTAGGTGGAATAGGGGTCATCACTCCCCAACACCTGGGGAGAATGAGGAGACCCGGGACTCAGGCTGGGGCCTTCCCCCTGACCTCTCTCTGTTCTTCTGTGCTGGCCCCCTGCCATCAGGCTGCAGGGAATGGGCTCTGGAGACAGCAGGTCTAAACATTCCCTTGCAGTCTGTCCCTGCTGCTAACTGGGTTAAGCCGGCACCAGGGCGGGCACATTTAAGCTCCCAGAGACTTTCTCAAGGTATATTTAAGGGGTGAGACTGCATGATCTCCACAGACAGGGGCCTGATGCTCCTTGGCGGGAGTGGGTAGCCTCTGGAGGGGCAGAGGCTGGCGCTGCCCAGTAGGGTGTGCACAGACTGGCCACAGCTCTGCAGGCCAGCAGCACAGGACCGGCTGGTGAGGGGTGCTGGGTGGTGAGCTGGGCTTAAGGCCACCCGACTCCACAGCTCGGAGGTAGTGAGTGTGGGCGAATTCAGGCGACAATTTGGTAAGTTTCCAGGGTCGATTAAAAAAAGGGGACAAACAAAAAAAAGGAAGAGCCCCGTTCCAGCCGCTTCCCCTAGCCTGGGGCCAGCGCAAGGCCCAGGAATCCGGCCGGGCCGGTGGGGGCTCCACCGAGCACGGTCTCGGGCTCCCCCAGGGCGCAGGGCTGCCCGGGGGCCCGAGGAGGGCTGGACCTCGGGGCAGCGGTGACCTGTCCAAGGCGTGTCGCGGGCGTCCACGTCGGTCCTCCGGGGTGGCGAGTGCCCCGCAGCCCCCGCCCGCGCCCCGCCCCCAGCTCCCTATCTCCGCCCCCGGGGGGGGGGCAGGCCCAGCTTCCCTCCCGCAACGCCGGACTCCGCAGCCGGGCGCCCGCGCTGCCAATTCCTAGAAACCTGCGAGGCTGCCCAGGATTTGCAGCTAGTCTCCCCCAAGGACCCTTAAGGTTCGTTGTGACCCCCACCCCGGGCCGCGGGCTGGGCGGGATGGCAGGGAGCAAGCCCCCCTCGCCGAGCCCAGCACCCCCGCGCCCAGTTCCGTCCGGTGCGGGCTGACCCGGGGGCTCCGGGGCGCGGAGCCGGCGGCGAGGGGGTGGGGAGCACCGGGGCGCGGGGCGCGCGCGGCGGCGGGCGGGGAGGGGCCGGCCGGGCGGCGGCGCAGCGGGGGCGGCTCGGGCACCTCCGGGCACCCACCCGGTCCCCGCGGGTGCAGCCGGAGTGGGGCGGGTGAGTCAGACCTCGGGCCCCCGCGGGTCGGGGGGGAGGGGAGTCAGGAAATGACATCAGAGGCCTGTGCTGGCGGAGGGGTGGTCCGGGCCGGGCCGGGGCGGCGGCCGGGGGGCCGGGGGGGCGGGGGGCGCGGGCCGGGGTCCGGGCCGGGCCCCTCCTGGGGGAGTTTCCTGCCCGCGCGCCCGCCGGCTCTCCCCGCCCCCTCTCCGGGCCGCTCCTTGTATGGTCTGGGCGCGCGCTCCGCCCGCCCGGCCCCCGCCCCGGCCCCCGCCCCCCGCCCCGGCCCCCGCCCCGCCCCGCCCCGCCGGCGGGACGCGCCCGGCCCGGGACGCGCAGAGCCAGGACCCCGCGCCCGGCCCCGACGCGCGCGCTCGCTCCGGCCCGCGGTGAGCGCGGGGAGCCGCCCGGGGGAGGGCGCGGGGCGCCCGGGGGGCCTCGGCCCCGCTCCGCGCCCGGCGTAACCCGCCCCCGCCCCCCGCAGCCCGGCCCGGCCATGGCGGCCCCCCGCCCGCCCCCCGCGATCTCCGTCTCGGTGTCGGCGCCGGCCTTTTACGCCCCGCAGAAGAAGTTCGGCCCGGTGGTGGCCCCCAAGCCCAAAGTGAACCCGTTCCGGCCCGGGGACGGCGAGCCCCCCGCGGCCGCCGGGGCGCAGCGCGCACAGATGGGGCGGGTGGGCGAGGTCCCCCCGCCGCCCCCGAAGGTATGCGGCCGGCGCGCGGGCCGGGTCCCCGCGGGCTCCGGGGCTGTGGGGGTGTCTGGAGAGGTGGCCGCGGGCGGAGGGGGCTGGGCGCAGCCACCCCGTCCCGACCAGATGTTCTTACCTCATCGCGGAGTCGTGGCGGGGAGCCAGGGCTCCTGGGGCGGTGCCAGGCCCGCCGGGGGTGGGAGGCGGGAGCGCGGGGCGCGACTCTGCCCCCGGGGCCGCTTTCCGAGGGGTCACTCGGGGCGGCCCCGGCCTGGGCCGTGCCCCGGGCGCGCGCCTGACCTGCGGCTCCCGGGGTGTCCTGCGGCCCCCCACGCCCGGGGCCCCCCGAGGGAGTTTCTTGGGTCAGGGGTAAGAGCTGGAGAAGGAGGGGAGCCGCAGAGGGCCCCCCATGACTGCCCCCCTCTCTCCTCCATGCCGCAGACTTCCCCTTGCCGCCGCCGCCCGTCCTTGGGGATGGCGAGGACGCGGAGGGCGCGCTGGGAGGCGCCTTCCCGCCGCCCCCTCCCCCGATCGAGGAGCCTTTCCCCCCTGCGCCGCTGGAGGAGGACATCTTCCCCTCCCCGCCGCCCCCGCTGGAGGAGGAAGGTGGGGCTGAGCCGCCCCTACCGCTCCCACCACAGGTATGGAGCCGGGTGCTGGGCGCAGCTGCCCTGGGACATCACCTGAGGAAGGAGCGCGGGGCCCTTTACTCTCGCCCGCCCTGCACCCCCTGCTGCTGAGGGTGGGGTGTGAGCGAGGATGGCGTGGGCCCTCTGACTCCTGACCCTCCAGCCCAGGGAGAAGGTGAGCAGTATTGATTTGGAGATCGACTCTCTGTCCTCGCTGTTGGATGACATGACCAGGAATGACCCCTTCAAAGCCCGGGTAAGGGACAGGAGAATAGGACACGCAGGGCAGGACACCTTCCAGGTCTAACGCCCGTCTCTCCCCTCTGCCTCCCCTCGCAGGTGTCCTCTGGATATGTGCCCCCGCCAGTCGCCACTCCGCTCGCTGCCAAGTCCAGCACTAAGCCTGCCGCGGTGGGCACTGCACCCCTGCCTCCCTGGAAGTCCCCGTCTAGCTCGCAGCCTGTGCCCCAGGCTCAGGCCCAGCCTCAGAGCCACACCCAGTTCCCTGTGCAGCCTCAGTCCCAGGTCAAGCCCCAGGCCAAGCCTCAGGTCCAGCTCCGCGTGCAGCCCCAGCCCCCGGCCCAGCCTGTGTCTTTGGCTAATGTCCAGCCTCGAGGTCCCCCAGCCCCAGCTCCAGCCCCGGCTCCAGCCCCGGCTCCAGCCCCGAAGTTCTCTCCAGTGACTCCCAAGTTTACTCCTGTGGCTTCCAAGTTCAGCCCTGGTGGAGCCAGCTCACAGCCCACTCAGAAGGCAGGGCCCCCTGAAGTTCCCTCGTCCACTGGCACAGGCTCCCCTCAGCCCCCCAGCTTCACCTATGCCCAGCAGAGGGAGAAGCCCCGAGTGCAGGAGAAGCAGCACCCAGTGCCCCCGCCGCCAGCTCAAAACCAAAACCAAAACCAGGTGAGGGAGGGTGGCAGGGCCAGGTGGGACTCAGTCAGGAACTAAGGAATGAGGGTGACACTCCCCGGGAGAGTGGGGTGGGCAAGGTTTGAGGTGAGGTAGGAGTTTTCCACCTCTCTGGTCACACTAGCAGACAAAGGTCGGAGAAAACTCTTGGGAGGAGGGCTTGGTAGGGCTGGGCTGGGTGGGCCTGACTGGGGGTGGCCAGGCTTTAAATTGGGGGGGGGTTCTGTGCACCTTTCCTCGCTCCCGCCCCAGGATGTTAAAGGGGCAGGGTGAGCTCACCCTCCACCCCACCTAGGTCCTGCCCGCTTCTTGGATTCTTGAGTTAATCTGTCCCCTCCTCACTGCCGGAGGGGCCTGTCTGGTGATAAGCCTGGAAGTTCGGTAAACACTGGCTGAGCCAGCTTTGCCGCTGAGTGTCAGGCTGGGTGCTGTGTGTGCGGGAGGGCAGGGATCCAGGGAGGTCTGAGGGACTCCACGGGCCTGGGATAGAATTCTGGGCCTTGATGAGCCTACGTGAGTTAGGTGAACTTGGAGTAAGTTGCCCCCTCTTTGAAATAGCACTGTGGTGGCTGTGAAGGTCAAGTGAGTTAAGGCACAGAAAGTGCAGGAGTCTGGATCTGGCACAGAAATGCTCAAAATAGAAAAGTCATCTTGTCTGCCTCATCAGGAGCTGATCCCTCCTGCCTGGAGGAACCCAGAACCTGGTCTAGTGAAGACAGCCTTAGGGTTAACCCAGAGGTGGCTGTGTGTGTGCACGTGTGCTGTGAGCAGACAGGCCTGGTGCCCATGAGCTCTGCAGAATCCTGTGTTACAGGAACTCCCAACAGGGAGTCTGCATGGGCAATCTGGGTGAGGCCTCCTGCTTGGTGTGCCTTCAAGGATGGGTGGGACCTAAGAATCCAGACAGGATCAGATGGGGAGACCATGAGCGAAACTCAAGGGTGCAAATACACTGGGGTGTTGGGAGAATAGAAAGTAGAGGCCGCAGTGGGGAAATGACAGATGAGGGGGCCAGAGGGGGTTGGACATGGTGGTGGGGGGTGGTTGGTGATGGCTTTGCAGGAAGGCCTGTGACAGCTCTGCTTTGGGGCAAGTTTTTCCAGCAGAGGTGTGGCTGGAGCAGGAGGTCATTGATGTGTGGGGGTTGCCTCCTGGGTGACTAGTAGTGGAGAGGAAAAATGAGGCCCAGGTAGGAGAGCTGTTAAAAAGGAAGCGCCTCCAGGCCACAGTAACCGATAAGCAGTTGGAAGAGGGCGGGGGAGGAGTAGGGAAAATGCCTGGTGTGTTGGGGAATTGCTGACAAAATAGAGAAGTCCAGAAGGGGAAATGGTTTGGACGGGAAAAGGAGGGGTTCAGCTGTTGGCGTGTTGAGCAACTGCTTCCAGGAGGACTTGCTTTCAGCTGGACGTGTCATTCAGCTAGAAATGGAGGGCCAGGTGCCCGAGAGGGCCTGCCGGGACGTGTGCGCCTGTGTGGTCGCCGGGCCCGACGGGCTGGCGAGGCGGCGGGGGTCTGCTGACACAGGAGGAGCTGGGGACCTGGGGGGATGCGCCCAGTGACCAGACCCCCCCAAAGAGGGCCAGAGAAGGGGGCACGGGAGAGACAGGCAGGGTGGGATCTTGAGGAGGATGCGATGGCTGAGCCCTTCAGCCAGGGGGTCAAGGATGAAGATTAAAATGAGGTCAGAGATTTGGCTGTCAGGGAGTCATAGATGGTCGTGGGGTGGCCTTTTTGTGCCCTGTGGTGGGGACACATTGAAAGGGGTTGTGGAGTGAGTGGTGGCGAGAGGATGGAGTTGCCAGAGTAGCCTGCTCTCCAGGGTTGGCAGGGAGATGCGGGCTGAGGAGGGCTGTGTGTGTGTGTGTGTGTCTGTGTGTGTGTGTGTGTGTTTCACTTCAGAGGAGGAAGACTGTAGTGTGTGAGGGAGAAGGGGTTGCTGATGCCTGAGTGAAGTGACACCCCCACCCCCAGGGGCATCCCCACAAGCAAGGACAGTCTCCACAGCATTTTCTGGGGAGAGGGGAGACGAGGGAGCTGGGGCTGGCGGGCTTCCATCTTCTCAGTCACGGAGGAGGTGAGGTCATCGGTGAGTGTGAGGGGGCGAAGCAGTTGGGGGCTCAGGCAATGGAAAGGTTTGGAACAGCTGCTGTGGGGAAGGCGACCGGGAATCGCAGGAGCCAAGTCACAGAGCTGGAGCCTGCTGGAGGCTCGGGCTGCACTGTGCTGTGATCTCGACACCTACTTTGTGCAGCTTGGAGAAGGAAACAGGAAGCCAGTGGTGGTGTGACCCGGGGTTGAGACTGGGTCAGATAAACCCTGGTGGCCTAGGGGGGTAAGAGTGACCCTGAGGCTGGTGGATATGAGTTGTCAAGGGGCCAGGCTTGGGCTGGGGGGTTGGAGGGCGGGGGAGGCCAGCTCGGCAGGCCTCGGCCCTCCACACACGTGGGGTGGACCCATGGGGTGCGGGGGAAGACCGGAAGCCCTGAGCAGGTTCATCTGGTGGTGTGATGGGAGGAGAGGAAAGGTGGTGAGGTAGAGACAGCTACCTCGGGCCCACGGTGTCCCCTGGAGGAAGGTGACTGAGGTGGAGGAAGGACACAGGCAGCGCTGGGGCTGAGGAGCTGGAGGGCCGCGTGGGATGCTTGCCGCGGCTGTGAAGTCACCGTGACATGAGTGTGACTTCCAGGCGGTGGGCAGAGAGGGAGGCCGAACCGAGCGTGTCCAGGATGGTGGAGACCCTGGGAGCTGGTGTGTGTGTTGTTCATACATGCAAAGAATAGAGCAGGGATGTGAAGTGACGGCAGAGAGCAAGGGCTCACTGGGTCCCCTTCTGTCCCCGGATACCAGGCAGGGAGGATGGGGCAAGGGAAAAGGTGACGCTTACCTGGCTGGAGGGGTTTAGGGGAGATGGTCAGGCTGAGCCTGGGGCCTCTGGCCCTGGGCTTCCAGTGGATGCCGTTCTGGGTGCAGCCTGCGGGGTGTGAGCTGGATGGATCCAGGGCTGAGGGAATGGTGGCCCTGGGAGGAGGCAGTTGAGAGGCCTTGAGGTTCCAGGCATTGTGGGACGGAGGCCCGGGGAGGTGGAACATTCTGTGACCTTGGTACTGGGGGGACTTACCCAGTAATGGAGAAGCCGACCAGCGCTGCTGTGGGAGTGTCTCCTGGGCGTGCTGGTGCAGATCCACCAGTCCCCTAAATAGTAGAAGTGGGTCTAGGGAGCAGGCCAGCCCAGAGGCCCAGTGGGGATGGCACCGGGTCAGGTTGCCAGGGCTCCTGGGGGGACCCGGCACCTCTGTGGGGAGCTGGGGGCTGGGGCCTGCAGACAGCTCTGGGGTTTAACCTGTGATTCCCACCTGTGTTGTCCTCACGCTGACAGAGTCTGCTCAGCAGCAGGTGGGACGGTAGGTGTGGGTGCGTGCCCCACTGCGTGCCAACCCTTGGGGGGGGTGATGCCCAAGCATGCTCTGTGGAGGTGGTGCGGGGCCTGGCGTGGTCAGTGCTTCAGTGACCTGAGCTGCTGTGTGTGTGACCTCTGTGACCTCTGTTCGCTTGTCATTCTCGCCTGTCTGTGACTGCTCAGGGGGGTTTGAGCAAAGGGGGGTAGGAGGACCACCCATCCCCCACCCCTTCATTTGGGTTGTGCTGGGGGTGGGGCAGGAGATAGAAGCTTTGGGGTCAGTCCTGAGCATTTGGGAAGCAGGAGGGAGTTAGTCCTTATTGCAAGGTGGGGAGGCTGGCTGGGGAGGCCTGGAGGAGGGGTGACCTTGGGGAGAGCATGACACTGTGTTGGGGTTTCAGGTGCGCTCCTCCGGGGCGCCAGGACCTCTGACTCTGAAGGAGGTGGAGGAGCTGGAGCAGCTGACCCAGCAGCTGATGCAGGACATGGAGCACCCTCAGAGGCAGACCGTGGCCCCCAATGGTGAGCCCCCCCTCACCCCCACCGCTGGAGCCAAGCCAGCTGCCCTCTTCCTGCTCACGTCCTTCCTCCTCTGTGACCTCTCTCTTCTTCGGCCCCCCAGAGTCCTGTGGCAGCTGCCACCAGCCCCTGGCGCGGGCACAGCCTGCGGTGCGCGCCCTGGGCCAGCTGTTCCACATCGGCTGCTTCACCTGCCACCAGTGTCAGCGGCAGCTCCAGGGACAGCAGTTCTACAGCCTGGAGGGGGCGCCCTACTGTGAGGGCTGCTATACCGTGAGTCGGGGTGGGGCTCCGTGGGGAGTGGGGGCAGCTAGCAGGCAGCCGGCTGCTGGGGACTAGCCCCTGACCCACCGCCTGCGGCTCCCTCCTCAGGACACCCTGGAGAAGTGCAACACCTGTGGGCAGCCCATCACGGAGCGCATGCTGCGGGCCACGGGCAAGGCCTACCACCCTCAGTGCTTCACCTGCGTGGTGTGCGCCTGCCCCCTGGAAGGCACCTCCTTCATCGTGGATCAGGCCAACCGGCCCCACTGCGTCCCCGACTACCACAAGTGAGGGCTCCCCCAACTCAGACACCTTCTAGGCTCCTCGCTGGGCTCCCGCCCTGATTGTTAGGAGGCCATCCCTGACCCTCAGACTGCTCCAAGCTCCCCTGTCCTATACAGCCTGTGTGCAGGGAACAGACCAGTTCATCGGGACTCAGCTGTACAAAGGCTTAGGCCTGGGAAGCTCGCTGCCCTCTGGCCCTGGGCACCCCAAGGCTTCTTTTGGGGTGTGGGCCTGTGTCCAGCAACGTGTGCAGAGTGACGTCATTGCACACCCGGGCTGCGATCTCAGAGTTCTTTGGAGGTCAGATGTTTGGAACGCAGGTTTCCCCTGGGAAGCAGTGTTTACACGACGGCTGCTTTCTCAGGCCCGCAGGGCGGAGCAGAGTCTGGCTCCCACCCCGATGGTGAACGTTTTCAGGATTCCACCTGGGGCCTAGGATCCCACGCCCGGCCGTCAGGCAGGGGCACCCTTGGGGTGGGGAGGGTTAGGGCCAGGACCAGGGGTCCAGGGAAGGGAGCTCAAGGGGGCGGCCTCTGTGTGATCCTTCTACGGGCAGTGCAGGGGTGGGGGGAGGTCAGGACCTAGTGGTCCGGGCTCCTGGGCAGATGGGGCTCTGGGAGGGTGAGGGGGGCCAGACCACACCCCTTCCTAGGGGCCACCGTGGCTGCCTGGGCTCAGGCCTTTCTGCTGCCTTCCTCCACCTGGAGATGTGACCCAGCCTCTCTGGTAGTCATTTTCCTCGTGGGGGGTGCCCGTGGTCCCTCGCTAATTTCTGTCCCTGGCCTTCTGCCCCCCGCAGGCAGTATGCCCCCAGGTGCTCTGTCTGCTCAGAGCCCATCATGCCAGAGCCTGGCCGCGAGGAAACGGTGCGAGTGGTCGCCCTGGACAAGAACTTCCACATGAAGTGCTACAAGTGTGAGGTGGGCTGGCCCTGGCGCCTCGAGGCAGGAGGGGCTGCTTCTCGGGACCCGGTGGCAGGTGCCCACCATGCCCACCAGCTCAGATGCTTCTGTTACTGCAGGACATTGGGGTGTGGGTTTCTGGAGGGTCATTTTGAGCTACTGATAAACCAAGAAAGGGAACTGGCCCATGGGAAGAAGGGTGTTGCATTTTGTGGTGGGAGGGTGGGGAGCCCAATGAGAATGGAGATAGGGGTGCTCTCCATCCTTTTTTGGGGGGCACTGTTAAAGCAGCTTTACCCAGCTTTCTGCAGGACAGAGTGACAATGCATAATAGAAGCAGGAGAGGACAGGAAGGGTGGGAGGGGGCGGAGGGTGTGGTGGTGGAACCCTGAAGCACAGGCCTCCCTAAAGATGAGGGGTTGTGGGGTACAGGGGGAACTGCCCTCCAGTGCTTTTGTCTCTCCTCCTAGGATTGTGGGAAGCCGCTGTCTATTGAGGCAGATGACAATGGCTGCTTCCCGCTGGATGGTCACGTGCTGTGCCGGAAGTGCCACGGGGCCAGAGCCCAGGCCTGAGCGAGGATGGCTCTCTGCACAGCGGTCCTAGTAGCGCACCACCCGCTCTGCCCCTCCACCTGTCCCGCCCCCTCAGTTATTTTTGAATGTCCAGCCCCTCCCTCCATTCCAAACCCCACCCCAGGCTCCTAAGGGCCCTGATCCAGGTCCCAACCCCGGTGAGGGAGTCAGAGTTCCTGCCCCTGCCCCGGCTTTCCAGCCCCCACCGCCCTGCAGAGACCACCCACCGACCTCCTCCAGGTGTCCATCTGAGGGGGCGGCTGCTGTCACTGCTGCACCCCTGTTCTCGGCTGGCCCCCAGCAGTCTGGAGCTCTGCTTGCTGATTGCAGGAGAAGGCCCTGACCCTCTGGGCGGTGGGCAGGGCTGGGCTGAGCTGCCCACACGCTCCCACCTGTCCTGTGCTGCCAGGTGTGGCTAATGCTACAAATAAAAAACCTTGTTTTCCAGAATTCTTAGTAGTCAGCTCTTTTATAAGTGCTCACGGGGTGGAGGAGCTTCAGGGATCAAAAACAAACAAGCAAATAAACAAAAAAAAAAATCAGGGGTAAAGGTGACAGCTCAGTCCTGTTTATTTACAAAAATAGATATGTATATGTTTATATATTAAACCCTCCCTCTCCCTCCCGAAATACCTTTGTACTTTACCCCACCTCCCCTCGTAACACAGAGGCTCCCTGGCCCCCGGGACCAGCTCCCGGGAAGGAGGGGCCGGAGCAGCACCAGGTTGGCAGGTGGAGGGCCAGGGCGCGAGTGACCACGGGCCCAGCCTGGCTCCCTGAGAGGCAGGCGCTGCTGGGGGCTCAGTCCTTGAAGCCCTGAATACTGCACAGGATGCGCTTCTGGTGTCCTGGCAGCGTGATTCCCATCTGCGCCAGGTCCCTGTGGGCAAAGAAGGGGGCAGTGAGTCTGCAGCTCGCACCCCAGCTGCCCTCCCGGGCCTGGCCCCGGTCCTCACTCAGCCGTCAGCTCCAGCACACACTCCATGGTGTCCAGCCCGGCCGAGCGGAAGTGCAGGATGTAGCGCTTCATGCGGATGGACTCCAGCCACTCCGGCACGCTCCGGTAGGGGATCCCATCCGAGCCGCTCAGGCTGGGCAGGCGGAGCGTCACCCTGCGGGACACGGGTCACCTCAGTCACACGGGGACGCCGGGGCTGTCCTCGGCCTTCCTGAGCGGGGGCTCAGCCCAGGAGCCGCTGCTGCCAACATTCAAACTGGGTGTCTGAGCAGAGAGGTTATGCAGACCTCGTGGGTTAGCCCGGCCATTGTCTGTGAACCCATTTCCTGGCCCGCTTCCTGGTGTGTGTACAGCCGGGGCAGGCCGGCGGGCCTGCCGCAGAGGCCCAGGGGAAGCGGTAGCCCGGACATCCCCAACAGACGCGGCCCCCCGGCTCATCTCCATGGAGAGGGCAGCGTGGGCAGCTGGCGGGGTGGCGAGGCCGATCGGCACCAGCATCCCGGCTGCGTGGAGGCAGGAGAGTGGGGGCTCTGGCCGCCGGGTGTGGTCCCGCCTCAGCTCAGGGTGGCCCTGGGCTTCTGGGAGCAGCCCTGGCTGGCCACCTCCAACCCCCGCTGTTATTCTTGCTCTCCGACACCCACAATACAATGAGTGTTCCTGTACTCAAGCCAGCCCGAGCCAAAAACCATTAGCAAAGTAAATCTGCTGGGGGAAAAATATCCAACATTCCAGAAAGATTAGCACATTCAGTCTCCAGTGTGCGAGGGAGCTGGGCTCCAAAAGATAGTTTCAAAAGTTGGAACTTGAAACACATTTTCTCCCAGGAACAAGGTTATATATGGCGGTCTGATACGGAGGCCGGCACGCCAGGGCTGGTTTCCCTGATAAAGCACAGCCCGGCCCGTCGCCCCACCGCCCGCCTGCTCATTCTCCACATTCTGTCCATGTTTTTGGTAAAAGGCAATTCTGACCATGTCCCTCCCATGGATAGTTTTTAAAAAGTTGGTCGATAGCGCTCTGTGCTCAGGATAAAGTCCAAACTTCTCAGAGCCGGTCCTCCTGGCATTAACCTGCCAGCCCTCCAGCTGCGTGGCTGGCCACTGACCCCGCAGTGGATCCTGCAGTCCGTCCGCCCAGCCCCAGCTCCCCAACTCGGGCGATGCCTCCAGGCTGCCCTCCCAGACCTGACATGCAGTTGCTGGTGTCTCTCTTCCCCAGCCCCAAGTGAGCTGCCCAAGCTCCCTGCAGCTTCTCGGGACATAAGCCTGGCTGTATCACCGATGTCCGGGAGAGCTCAGTAACCAGAAGGCTCTCCACAGCGTGTCGAATGAATCCCCCTTTTCTCCAAATGCAGGGGGTTTTATAGGGGAGGGGGTGCATTCCGCTGAAACCCCTCAGAGGAGAGGTGCTAGCACAATGCAGTGGGACAGCCGCATGGCCCCAGGAGGGTGCCAGGTCAGGCAGCCTGAAGAGGGAGAGGACCCAGGCCAGGTGAGGCCAGGTAAGCTGGGGTCTGGCTGCGCCCGATCTCCACAAAGGTGGGTAATTGGAACTGACCTCTAACTACTTCTTTTCAAATGCTCCATGTGCCTCCCGGTCACTGTGCTCCTATCAAAATACAGCTACTGGGGGGAAGGGCAGCTCCTCCATCAGAGTGGCGCCCCGTAGATGTCCTTTCTCACAGGTGGGAGTCTAGACCCCAGGGGGGTGGGGCCGGTGGCGGCTGGTGAATGTGGCTGAATGCCCATTTCCCTCTGCCCACGCCTGCCTTCTGAAACCCCAGCCCTGCCCAGCAGCCTCACCTGGGATCAAAGTTGGCAATGGTCCGCAGTGGATGGGGGTTGGCCAGCAAGTGATCCAGATGTGCCTGCAGCTGGTGGAAGTGGGGTCGACGGGCCCGGTCATAGGCCCAGCAGTTCTTCATGAGCTCATAGAGAGGGGCAGGGCAGTCCACTGGCGGCGGCAGCCGGTACCCGTCCTCGATGCTCTTCATGACCTGCGGGGGAGGGGAGGAGGCTCACCTGGCAGCCCATGAGACACCGGGTTCACGTATGCTCACTGCTATGGAGCCTCTGGACACCCCAAAGAGAACAGGGACTCAGACGGGAGCGTAGACAAACTGGGTTGGGAAGAATTAGTAACGGCATTTGCAGGAAAGAGTTGGGAGGATGTGGAGAGGAGATGAGAGGTGAGTTAAGGACAACTGGGGAGCAGCATCCGGGCTTACCTCCTGATTGCTCATCTCCCCATAGGGCTTGTCCCCAAAGCTCAGCACCTCCCACATGACAATCCCAAAGCTCCAGACGTCGCTGGCCGTGGTGAAGATCCGGTGGGCGATGGCCTCAGGGGCTGTCCAACGGATGGGGATCTTTCCTCCCTAATGGGGCGTGTTGGGCAAAGAGGGGACATGTTCCAGGGCATGGAGGGGTGGGGAACCCCTGTGTGGGTTAGTGTTAGGGCTAGTGTCCACATGAGGCCGAGTCCCGTCTGACACATGGGAGCGCGCTCGACGAGAGGCTGTGGTGGGCGCAGGGCTCTAACCTGGGTTTCGTAGGTGCCGTCAAAGTTGTCCAGGAGGCGGGTCAGGCCAAAATCAGACACCTTGCAGCTCAGGTTCTGACTCACCAGGATGTTCCTGGCAGCCAGGTCCCGGTGGACATAATTGTGGTCGCTGAGGTAGTTCATGCCAGAAGCTATGCCCTGCAGCATGGCCACCAGCTGGGCAGGGACCAGCTGGTCCTCCCGCTCCTGCAGCGGGGGAGTGGGCTAGTGAGGGGCTGGGTCGTCCTTCCTGGGCCAACGCCCAGGGCTCCCGAGGGCACATCTTCCCTCCCAGCTGCTCCTCACCCGCCTCACCCGCAGGAAGGCATCCAGGGCTCCATTTTCCATAAACTCCGTGATGATCATGATGGGCTTTCCTGAGACACAGAGCGCGTCACCACGGCAGCTGCCACCCCCACCCCCACCCCCTGCCCTCGCGGCCCCCCTCCCCAGCCGCCTCCGGTGGTCTCGAAGCCCCCGCCTCGTACTCTTTGTGACCACGCCTTCCAGGTGCAGGATGTGCGGGTGGTTAAACTGGCCCATGATGGTGGCCTCGCGGAGGAAGTTCCACCACTGGCCGTCTGGAGACGTGTCTTTCAGGGTCTTGATGGCCACGGTCTTGCAGTCCTGGCTGGGGAGCCTCAGGGTCCCGCGATATACTTCCCCAAACTCTCCTGGGTGGGCAGAAAAGGGGCCACGGCACGATACACAGGCGGCACTATCCTCCAGTCTCCCCACTCCGACCTCAGCGCGGGGTGCCCGTTCTGGTGACACGGGCTCGGCTGCACTTCCAAGGGGCAGGGGGCCGAGTCTGGACAGGGGTCAGCAGGACCCACCAGGGCAGCCGGCTGGCTCACTGCTTGCGCTCAGACGAGGGTGGCCATGGCCGCTGTCTTCCCCGAGCCCCCCAGTCACGGCTTGGCCGGCTGGGCTGCATAATCGGCAAGGACACTGCCCAGCTTTGTTCTCCCCAGATCCATTTCCTCTGGTGACCCAAGGGATCAGGGCAGCCCAAGGACACTAGGCCCCTGATGGGGTGGAATGTGGGGCGAGGGAGGTTCCAAAGCTCTCCGATGATTGGGAACCATCTGTAAAAAGTCTGAGCCTGGCACTGCGGCCCCTCTCTTGACAGACCAGGTATTTAAGCCACTGTCAGGAACTCTACAACCACCGGAGCAGACTGTGTGGGGCTCGGGGCTGCTCCAGTGCCCCTGGTGGGGGTTACAGCACGTGCCCTGCAGTTCCAGAGGAGTACGGGGTAGACAGGGGAAGTCGCCACAGGAGAGGCCAGCCGGCCCCTTGGCAAAGGGCTGAAGGGCCGGCTGGCTGGCAGCTCGGTGCCCCACACAGGGGAGCCTCACCTTCCCCTATGACCGTGTCCACGATAAGCCAGCCTGGGTCGAGCTCCTGGGTGAAGTCCAGGGCTCCCTGGGCAGGGTCCTCATAAGCCTGCAGGTCCACGTACGGCTTCAGCCACAGCTTGTCCTCTGCAGGGAGGGGCAGTCACGGGCATACCCATGTCAGAGCTCTGGAGTATTGGGGGTGAGGGAAGGGGAAGCGGCCAGCAGCAGCCCCCAGACTCATGCTTCTGTCCTCTGAGGACTCTGGTTTGGGCTGAACAACGAAGTCTCCACATCCCAGCCGCTCTTCTTCCCGTCTCTGTGCAAAGCTCCTGTGTCCTCACCCCCAAAAGGCCTGGGCAATGAGCCAGGGCTCAGACCCAAAATAGTGTCCGCCGCCTCAAGTTTCCCAATCTCCTGTGGCTCCTTGACCCGCTTCAAATTCCTTGCCTTTCCGCCTCACCCCTGACATGGCCCTCCACTCATTCTCACCTCGTCACACTCCCCCACCAGCCCCTCCCGCTGCTGCTTGGACACATTAAGTCCCCCCCCCCCGGCAAGGGTACCCCATGAGGTGGCCAGCAGGCACCCCGCAGGCCTTGGAGGATGTCAGGGAGACTGTTGGGCAATCCCCCTCCTGCCCAGCCTCAGCCTCAGCCTCAGCCCCAGCCTGGCCAGCCCGGAGGGGCTTGGAGACCCAGCGCCCAGCTGGGGTACGGGGGCCCATCAGCTAACAGGCAATTGTACTGAGCCTCTGGGGGGCTGTCAGTCCAAAGTTAATTAGCCAAAGTTAATTAGGTAGCAAAGCACAGATGCCCTAGAGACGATAAGGCCCACTCATACCCCAGAGTTGTTCTAGCAAAAGCAAGTCTCTGGCTCCCACCCAGG